TAGAAGTCATTTTTGTTTAATGCTTGAGATACCTGCCTCTTTATTTACATGTTACTGGGATTAAAGTCTTAAAATCTGATTTTCAGTTTATCAAGAGAGATCAAGTAGAGTTAAATCTAAATAATTTGAACTGACTGATTGCTTTCCTTAGTTAATAATAAATCTGACTCTAAATTTTTCCCCAAAGTAACACAAATACACTCTCTCAAGCGTGTCAGTCTAGGCTGGCGCTGTGCTTCCAGGAGGCTGGGTAGGCAGCGCCCTTCCTCCTGGCCTGCGAGAGGGGTAAGAGCGTCATCGTGGGACGTTTGCACACTTTCGGAAGGTGCCTGTGTGGGGTGCTCTGGTTTGCTGAGAAGGCTCACCCCCCACCGCCCCCCACCCCCGCCAATCCATTCAGTGTTGCGTATTTGCCCCGCAGCGCTCTCGTCCTTTCTCCCGAGTGGGATTCAGGTGGAACTTGATCCATCACAGGTGCCAGGCTAGAGAAGTCAGCTTAATGGAGTCAGGGGCTCAGGTGTCTCCCCCACACCTTTCTCAGACCTTTCACAGGCTTTGGGGGCCTGGCAGTCACAGGAAACAGTCCCTTTGGGTTACCTGTGTAGGTGGTGCGCCGGTGCCCTTGAGCAGACTAGAGCTCCCGGCCTTCCTCCCTGGTGAAGCCGGTAAGTCCTCTTGGCCACGCTGGTTTTCTCCAGTGCTCGGCGCTGAGGGAAGGGCTACGTTCGTGCCGTGAGCAGGTGTAGGTGTGAGCATGCGTGCAAGTGTGCAGCCCGGGGAGATGGCGGGTGCTCTACTGCCTGGATTCCCACCCGCAGCCGTGCTCTGAGCTCTGGCCTTTCCTTCACGCACACACACACCACACACAGCCCCCACGCACCCCACACACAGATTCGTGCACACACCACACATAGCACCCCACACATCCCACACACAGATAGGTGCACATACCACACATAGCACCTCACACATCCCACACCCCGCAGATACACACCTCACACAGGTGCACACCCCACATACGCATACACACATACCGCACATACGCCCACCCTGCACACCCCATAGACACACACCTCACACCTGCTACATGCCCACCACACACCACACATACCTCCCTCACGTCCTACAAATACCTCACAGACCCCCCACATACACACCATATGTACACACACACCACACATAGCCCCCCACCCTACAAATACACACCTCACGCACATGTGCATGCCCCCCCACACCCACGCCACACACACACACACCCACACCACACATAACCCCCTACCCTAAATGCCACAAATACACACCTCACATACACGTGCACACCCCCACACCACACGCACACCACATGTACCATCCCTACACTACAGCCTCTCATGCACACCATACACACACGTGTACATACCACACACATGCACACCATACACACACCCCACGCATAGTACCCCCACACATACTCACCATGCACACACACCCCACAAACACCGTGGAAGCCTTGCTGCATGACTGTCTCCCTCTGTCCTGGGGACAGGCTCCCCGGTGCGCACAGCCCTCTGGATGGACGTAGCGGGATGTCGGTGGGGCTCCAGGGATGTCTCTGGGCCTTCCCAGTGAGGAGACAGACTTGGCGGAATTTCCCCATCTCTTCATGATTCCACAGTCGGTGTGTGAGCCACCACGTCGTGCCTTTTTCCTCCTGTCACTGCTCCTGCTGGCTGCCATGCAGCCCCGTCCTGTCCTTTCCTGCTTCTGTCGGGGTGTAGAGGCCCCTAGGAGGCTTCCAGGTGAGTGCTTCTAGGGGCCGTTGAGCCTCACGAATGCCTTTGCCTGCTCAGACCTAAGCTGCCCTCAGTCTCGTCACCGCCCCACTCAGGCACGTGCTGTCGCCAGGGCTGGACAGGGAAGGGCTGCCGCCCTGTGACTCGTAGTGGAGCTGCTGCTGTCCAAGGGCGCCTTCCTGCTGCAACCCCGCTTCCTGCTCTCTCTCTGGGGTGCCCGAGGGGCTGCCCATAGGATGCTGCTTCCAGCTTTATTAAACAGCATCCTTATCGTTTGCTAAGTTTTTGTACAGGAGAAATTCTTAAATGGTGCCATGTTGAGTGATTTTGGTCTTTGGTTTTATTTAAATATTCAGTTCTGCGTTCTCTCTGGAAAGCTGTTGACTTAAAATGAAAAATGTGCATTAATATACATGTGTGAATGTGTTACTCCTTCACCCAGTGTTTATCAGGTGCCTGCTGGGTTAGCTGGTGGTTACTTTGTCATTCATTTGAGCAACCGCAGTGGATGGAGCACTAGTGTGGAAATTGGTGTGGGGGCCTGGTGTCACCACCGCAGACTGTGTGCCCTGGGTTAAGAGACTTCCCCTGTATGGGTCCCAAGTCCCTCCTTTGTATATCCCAGGTTGATGCTGATTTTGGGGATCTGGACTACAAACCCAATAATATTGAGGATTGTAGTCAGTGTAGGAAGGGATTGACTTCCCAGGATAAGACTACAGTTGGCTCTGCAGGTTCTGTTTGTTTGGAAGCAATGTAATCCATTCATTTGTTGGAATGTTCATTGGTTACTTCTTCATTGCATGCCTTGTTTTTGTAAGGCCGGACAGAGCAGTGAGACCCAGCCTTGGCTGGCATGGAGCCTGAGGCTCAGGCTGGAGCCAGCAGCAAGTGATTCAGTGGAGAGGAGGGAGGCCAGAGGGACACAAAGTAGGAAGTGGTTTGCTCCTCCAAAAAGACTGTGGAGAGGGAGCAGACAGCAGTGAAGTCTTCACTGAGGAAGTGTGCTTGAAGTGAGTATTGAAAGATATTAGGTCATTAAATATGAAATGTCCAGTTTCGAATCAGTGTAGTTAATAAACAAGAAGCAGTACGATTAATCAAAGTATGAGCCTAAACTATCGACACAGTCGTGCCGTCTTAACGGTAGCTTGTTTATACCAGCAATGAAGAAGCCTGGACAGCAAGTGGCCATGAAATTGCAAAAGGCCGTTTCCACAGCTTGTTGAGAATTGAATATTATTCTGTGCAAGAAGTAGTCCAAAGCCTGGAAGAAGTGGCAGTCAGTTGGTGCAAGTTCTGGTGAATACTGTGGATGACAGAGAGTTTCCAAGTCCAGCTTTGTAGTTTGAGCAGCACTGTTTGTGAGACACATGGTTGAGCGTTTGTCTTGCGAGAGGATTGGCCTGTCTCTGTTGACCAGTCTCGGCTGGTTAATTGCAAGCATCCTCATCATTTCTTCCACCTGGTTGCAATAGACATCTGTTGTAATCGATTGACCGGGTTTCATGAAGTTGTAGTGGATAATACCAGCGCCGGACCACCAAACAGACACCATTAGCTTTTTTTGATGAATATTCGGTTTTGGACTGTGTTTCGGCACGTTACCTTCATCAAACCATTGTGCCAAATGCTTGCGATGGTCAAAAAGAATCCGTTTTCCATCACACATTACAATATGGTGTAGCAATGGTTCGCCTTTATGTCGTGACAGGAAAGAAAGGCAAGCTCAAGGATGATTTCTCTTCTGATGCTCGTTTAATTCATGCGGAACCCATCTATCCAGCTTCTTTACCTTGTTGATTTGTTTCCAATGGTCCAATATTGTTGGAATAGTAACATCAAACCTTGCTGCTAATTCACATATAGGTTGAGATGGAGTCTCTTCCACTACGGCTTTCAGCTCATCGTTATCCACCTTGGTCTCAGGTCACCCATGTGGCTCCTTTTCAAGATTAAAATTACCAGAATGTAACTTCTAAAACTGTCAATGTACTGTGCGTTCATTAGGCACATCCTTCCCAAACACTTTGTTGATATTTTTTGAGCTATCTGTGCTGCATTGGTTCCATGATGGAACTCATATTAAAAAATAACACGAATTTTTGACTTACCCGTGGTTTCACAAAAATTGTTCTAAAAAAATTTTGACACATAATCACAAGCCAAAATGTGTGTTTCCAAGACTGAGGACGTACCTTCACAATAAAAATAAAACAAGAAGTGTCAAAGTGAAATGTCAGAGATATCAACTGTCAAACTTAGTACTTAAGGAAATCGGGTATTTCATGCTTAAAATCCTAATAGCTAAGTCGAAGCTCTGAGGAAAGGACGACAGGCTTTCCAGGCAGCGAGGCCCGTGTGGGTGATAGCCTGGCAGGCTCAGGGTGGGTAGGACTTGGGTATGCTGGCTGGGGGGACCCCGAGGCAGGGACCAGACTGAGGGGAGGCCAGAGCGCTGCACCAGGCCTGTGGGCTCTGTCGTTGGGGGGTGTGCAAAGGTCTTTAAGCTGTGCGTGTGCACATACGTGTGCGTGTGTGGTCTGGGGTGACGGGATTATGTTGCATCTTGGTAAAATCCATCTGTGAACAGAGATGGAGCAGGGTTGGTGGGGATGAGAGATGGTGAAGAGGAAGGAGCAGCTGACTGTGAGTGTTGTGAGCAGAGAGAGGAGGCTGGTGTAACTCCGGCCTGCACCGCCTGGGCGATGGAGTGCCTGGTGGGGTTTGTATGTGATGGGAAGATGCTCAACTGGGTCTTTTTGGATGGTGATAACTTTCTGGGCGTATAAAGAATTCTCTTTACCTAATGAGGAAATTCGGAGCATCCATCCGTCCACTCATCCATCTGTCCATCCGTCTACCCACTCACCCATCCCTTCACCACTGAGGATGATTTCACTGATACGCCCTCCAGCAGCCCTGCGCAGCCACGACCCAAGGGGCCTGGAGTAGCAGGGAGTATGTGCTGTGCGAGCCAGCTTGTGGGGAAGGACTGAGCCCAGGGCCTGGTGAAATAGTGCATGTTGTACATGGAGGGATAAATAGTAAAGATAATCGGAATTTTACAAAAAAATTAAACAAGTTGATGTTTGTTTATATTTGTGTTTTAATATTAGAGACTGTGACAGATATCGATGGTACGTATTTTAAGCAAAAGAACGCTTGCATTTTAGTGCGTACACTGTGTTCACCTTTTGCTTTACCACCTGTTCCATTTTCTTCCAGATTTTCGAAAGGATCTTGTTTATATGGGCAATCCGTCACCCCGCCAGCGGATACGTTCAGGGGATAAATGACCTCGTCACTCCTTTCTTTGTGGTCTTCATTTGCGAACACATAGGTAGGATAATATCACGATAGTTTTTCTCACAAGCATTAAACATGAACTTGAGTGGACTTGCCTTGTATCAGTACGCATGATTGTAGCAATGTTGAAAGGCGCCATTCAGTTTAATGTCATCAGTGACAAGTAGCAACAGAGAATAATAGTTTTCTCATTGATGCCAGCTTCAAAAATGTCTTTAAACCTACATGCTCCACTACTGAGGGTGTTAAGATGCAGTCGTAATTATTAATGTCTTCTTTTAAACAATATCCGAAGAGAAATGTGATATCTTTGGGGAGTGTGTTTATTTATAACAGCTTCTTCAGCGATTTGGATTTAAATGGACAATATTCAGGTAATAGAGTATTAGTCCGATGTCTTGCTTATGAGCTAAAAACCAAATCTTCTTTAATTGCATTTCTGTGGCATTTCATCACTTTCCTACTTTTGATATACTAGTAACACTTTTCATGGGAATGTTAATTCCTTGCAAAATAATTGGTTTAACAGAGGTTTAGGTTGGGCTATATACTGTTTCTCTTTGAGTATTGCACATTTTTTCTTTATAACAGCCAACTTCAATATAACTTTACCCGTTTTGACATATTTTAAATTTTTAAAAAATGCTGATAATTTAAGTGAGGGATCTACTTATTAATTCATCTATGAATAAAAAATACATACAAATGGAAGGGCTTTACTGTTTAGTTGCAGCATTTCAATTTAAAGCTGATTTTAATTTGTCTTCGCGTGAACCTTCCTGTTGCTTGTTTTTATTAGATTGTGCTTTTAGCCCTTTTAGTTTGTAGCCTGCTCTAGATTCCCATCATATTGTATTCTGGAGAGATTAGGTTTACTCACGGACAGATTATCCTCTGAGGATGAGAACACATCCATTTAGTGAGTTTTATTGCAACCTTCTCACACTTTGTTTCCATTTATGATTTCATAGGAGGTCGTTTCATTGCTAAGCAACTAATGAGCACTGCGCGGTTCCCTCCCTAATCATCCTTTAAGCAGGGGAGCGGTGCTCCTGAGAGCGCCCGTCTTCTGCTTCTGATGCCTTCCTTGGACAGATAATGAAAGTGCTCTTAATGATCCTGGAACAGTAGGACCTCTGTCAGTAGACTTCAGAGCTGTTAATTGAAAGAAGTTCAACTGCGATGTGATTAGAGAATTGATATTCCATGTTAAATAGACCATTTAATTAACGTGGCAAATAAGTTTGTCTTAACTACTTTACCACCAGCCTATGCTTTAAGACCCAACCAGTTCTTAATGCATTTGCCTGATTGTCAGCAGGATGGGACAAAGGGACATGACCATGATGTTAATTGTCCAGAAGAAAGAAGAACTGGAGAAAATGGAATTTGTGCTCTACAAGTGGCAGAGATGAGCTCGGAGACACTCTCCTCACCTTCCCGCAGCCTCATTGAACACACATGTGCGTGCACACATGTATCCACACACATGCATGCACATGCATTTGTGTACACATAAGAGCACAACTGTGCATTGCGTCGGTGTACAGTGTCACTTTGGAACATCTGTGTGAAATGTACCATTTATTTCCATCAGTTAACTATTTAGTGGACATTTTTTTTTTTTTTTTTTACCAGTCATCTTTTATTTGGAGGTTATTTCTCGCTAGGATATGAAAGGATTCAGCAATGATTGAGTTCCTCACAGAGGGTGCTGGGCCAAGGAGGTCAAGGTCACAAGTGCAGAATGCACCCCCGCCATGGGCCCCTCTTCAGTGGTACTTGTGTCGCCGCTCATGTTTGAGCTCCTTGTAAGAAAGGCAGTAGTTGAAAAGCACGTAAGCTGCCAGCAACATAGTAACCCCAGTGACGCTCCCCTTCTTCACATTGATGTACTTGTTGTAATACCGGTAGTAACCTCTTTGAAAGGCTCCAGCAATGCCTTTAGGGGTGAAATCCCGCGTCAAAATCCAGCTTGGCAGCTCCCCTAGTTTGACATCCATGAGTTTCTTCTCCTTCACTGGTACGACCGACGCCATCTTGGAGCTCTGATCTAGTGGACATTTTAAATGCTGTCCTGGATTTCAAATGTGGTTGGTGCATTTGTAGTCCTTTTAGATCCTGTTTCCCAGGCTTGGGGAATGCTCAATAGTGTAGTCCAAGTCCATCCTTCATGTCGTAAAGAAAGACGAGAAACCTTTGTTTAAATTGCTTGGTGCGCTGTCCAGCTTCCTTCTGGGGCTGAAGTTGTGTCGTTCATGCAGACCTCCACCAAGCACTTGCCCTGCGGCTGGGTCTCGTGCAGAGCGCGGAGGTGTGGAGATGACTTCAGTTCAATTCAGCAAGCACCGACTGAGCATCTCCTGGCCTCTGCTGTGGTGGGGACATAGGAGAACAAGGGAAGCCTGGTTCCTGCTCTCTTGGAGTTTGTGGTTGTAGCAGGGAAGACAGATTTTAGACAATTAATTAAAAAGCTTAATTAAAGTAATTAACATTCACGTTATCAAGAGGAAGCATCGGTTGCTGTGAGGACCTGTCTCAGTTTGGGGGTCCAAGGCAGTTCCCTGGACTACGTGATGTTTCAGCCACATCTGGTGGGACGAGCAGGAGCTGGGTTGAGGCTGGACATGCAGAGAGAGCAGCAGGCGCACCAGCCTGGAGTGCAAGTGCGGGGTGACCACAGCGGCAGTGACGCACGCTGGCACTGGGAGGAAGGGTGGGGGCGACCTGGGCTGGAGGCGCTGGTGCATCACAGGAGGAACCTGGGGCCAAGTCTCAGGGGCACGTAGAACCACTGACCGAAATGCTCAGGTCCTTGTCTTCGCGCATGCACTCTGGCTGCTGTGTGGAGAAGAGATTGGAACAGCAGTCCCCAACCTTTTTGGCACCAGCACCCTGTTTCATGAAAGACAATTTTCCCACAGACTGGGGACGGGGGTTGGGGGAGGATGGTTATGATTCAAGCGCATTACATTTATTGTGCATTTTATTTCTATTATTACATTGTAATATATAATGAAGTAATTATACAACTTGCCATGAGGCAGAATCAGTGGTTGCCCTTAGCTTGTTTTCCTGCAACTAGATGGTCCCACCCAGGGGGGATGGGAGACAGTGACGGATGTGACAGGAGGCCCAGCTCAGGCGGTGATGTGAGTGATGGGGAGCGGGTATAAATACAGCTTCGCTCGCTCCCCTGCTGTGCGGCCCGGTTCCTAAGAGGCCATGGGCTGGTACCAGTCAGTCCTTGGCCGGGGGGTTGGGGACAGCAGGCTTGGAAGGTGTCCCCACAGGCTGTAGTCACCGGCAGAGACACAAGTGCTCTTTTGAAAGGCTGTTCTGGTTTGCTGAACTCTTGGTTTGCTGGCTGCTTAAGCATGTAAACTTCAATTCTTTTGCTTTTTAAAGATCTTTAAGATACACTCTTTTCCTTCAGCAAGAACCTTGGTGATAAGATTCTGTGGTTTTGATACCCGGGCACCTTGCAGTCCTTTGACCTCAGTGTTCGGGCTGGTGCGTGACTGCTGAGACAGCCGAGTGCGGGTGGCGTGGTGCACTGGCCCGAATGCGCACCGCCTCCCGAGAACTGCAGTTGGCCTGGTTCTGGGGATAAGCTTGGATTGTTATTTGGATTTTCTTCTTTCTTTAAGTTGAAAGACGGAAAATAATTCCAGTTAATGAAGGTACAAGAAGTCCTCTGGGCATGGGATTTCTCCAGGGCCCTGAGGCAGTGGCACATAGATCTGCAATGTCCCAAGGGGGAGCTGGGATTTTCCTGGGAGTCATGCGTTTGCTGTGCACCCCAAGTCTTCAGAGACCCAGCTCCTGGCCCGCTGTGCGCTCCTGCTGGTTCCTGCGGGAGGAGGGGTGCGCTGGTGGCTGATGTAGGTAGGGAGTGGCCACTCCTGAGCAACCGTGGGAGGTCCTGACTCTGCACGTGCTGGCACTTAGAGGCTTCTCAATGCCGTGTTCTTTGACTTGGAAAGAAGAATATGGGAAGAGAAGGGTTATTTGAGGTTGACACACAGGATCTGGTCTGGAGGACCTGGGCTTGCCCAACTGGATTGGCTGCTTGCTGACAAGGAACGGGATGTTTATCTTGGGCAGGAGGCTGGCCAAAGTGATCAGGGTCAGAGAAACGATTTGTGGAGGGGGAGCGATGTTCAGAGCTGAGTGGAGGAGTGCTCAGAGGGTCTGACTGGTCTCTGCAGGAGCCAGGACACCACTGGCACGAGTCAGGAATATGTGCCACATAGCCCGGGTCTCCTCATAGAGTGCCTGCACCTCTGGGGAAAGGCAGTTGGGTCCTGCTGTCGAAGGATACAGAATCTGCAAATGCAAGTTTAGCACATGCATGTGCATAAAACACTTGTGTACACAGGCGTGCACATGCACACATATGCACATGCACACACATGTCACATATACATGCAAACAAATGCACACACAGACACACATGCACACGCTAACTCCTCATTAGTGCTAGCCACAATCTCTTCAAGGAAATGTGGAACAAATCTCTAACCTTTATTCAATGGCACCTACCAGTCTCAGTTGGGCTCTGAAGGTGCCTACCATTGGAGAAGGAGATGGAAACCCTTCGTGACCTCAGAGGTGGGGGTAGCAGTGTGCAAAGCGTGTCAAGATAGTGGGGTCTGATAGATAGAATTAGGCATCACTGAAGTTTGGGGAGATAACCCTGTGAGTGGAGTGTTGCAGTGGGAGGGTATAATTTGCTTGGAGACATCGATCAAGGAAAAGTTCTCTATGCCAGGAAATTTAGGGATTCCTGAATTTCAGGGTGGAAGACTTAGGGAGTAAGAAACTGTAGGCATGTAAATGATAAACTTGCTGGAGCTTAAATATGCCCATTCCAGGTCAGAGCCAAGCTTGGGTGCTTGTTCTTATAGATTGCGTCCTTGACCCACAGGTAGTCAGGGTGTGTAGGAGACTCCAGTCAGCGCACCCTTAGAGATGGCATGCTCTGCTAGGGACAGCCACACAACACGTGTTCGAATTTTATCTTTGGGAGGT